ATGCTTCAGAGCATACCGCAACTACGAGTTCCCCTGCAGAGGCTGACGATGATGCACCCGATCTCGACAACGTGGTCATACCGGATTTTGGCAAGAAAATTCCAACGGCACCAGGTATAGAGGTAGAGGACATAGACAGTGACGATGAGAACTCCGACACAGAGGACGAAGGTTCTGATGACGAAGCTGCGAGACCGGCTGAACCTCTCACGGAGATCGAAGAACAGTACATAGAGGACGAAATCTCGCTTCGGGAGATGGAGGAAGATCACATCGAGGCCATGCGCATCCCACGAGAGGCGTTTGACGAACCTGCGTTGGACTTCACCGAAATGATGTCCAACACGTCCAAGATGGCGAGAATAGATGAGGCGGCCAAGATGTTCGCTAATCTTCAACAGGGCACCACATACGTGTCGTACGTGAACGCCGAGAGGGAGTTCAAAGAGTGGTGCTGCGCGTGCCTCAAGACTGAGCCAACGGAAGGTTTCCCAGACGATGCTATTTTGCTTGACCAAGACGAGGTTGGCACATTTCTTGGAAGGGGGAAGGGAACTGATTGGAGGACGGCGGAACCAGACAAGCCGTGGTTGCATGGCCCAAAAACGACCCCGTTGCGCGTGGAAACGTTCCTTCGATGGAAATCTGAGTTGACCGTGGCAAAAGCGGCAGAGTTTCGTCGGAAGACAGAGCAAAATAGGGAGACTTTGCGGAAGAAACGTACGCAAAAGCTGCGCGACTGCACGGTCCACATGTACGTGATGTCGGTGAAAGCGCTGTCCCACCTGTGCAAAGTGGAGGCTGTGCTTTTTGGTGAGAAGGCCCTGCACGTCATTCGAGACATCGCGTCCGTGAGCACGGAGCTCAAGTTCAAGGTCCGCGACAAGTGGCGCAAAAACCACAAGTGAGTAGAACAGCAGTGCTTCTCATTAGGCATGAGGTGTTAACGAAATTATGCATTGAACAAATTGTTTGCAACCTTGTCGCAGGGAGTGTGTGGACAGACACCGCGGAAGTTTCAGCGACACGTACTCGGAGAAGGACATACGCAGGATCATGCGGAAGGTGCTTCCCGTCTGGGCTGGAGAGGCGTGGAGAAAATGTCGCAAAGCAGTGTCGCAGAAGCTGTGGAAAATCCTCCTCATGAAAGTGATGACGCTGCTCGGCCACCACACGCTTCTTCGAGGAGGCAGCGTGCGAAGCATTGAACTTCCCGACATCTATATGCACAAGCTGGGCAGCACCTCCCGCAAAGACCCAACGCGCAAGGCAACCATCATGGTCGTGTCGTCGCGGCACTCCAAGACCAACAAGGAAGGATATGCCGAGCAATCTTACGCAGCACGACACGAAGACCACGAGATGTGCGCAGTGGGAAACCTCATGCTTTACCTTCACTTCGCGTACGACCTTGCCAAGGAAGCTTTCGGACAACCAGTTGCACCTGCATTGGACTTCAGCGCACCCGAGAAATGGTACCACAAGCATTTGTTCTTCCCCGTACGCAGCAAGGAGCAAGGACCAATCCCTGCGTCAACTCATTTGCGCTTCACAAAGGAGATGTGGAGCAGAAACGGGGTAACCATGAGACGGGTCGTCCACGCAACTCGTGCGGGGGGAGCACAAGAGCTGGCACTAAAGGGTGTGCCGCAGGCCGAGATCGCCAACATGGGGCACTGGTCCATCGACAAGATGAACAGGTGCTACCTCACGTCGATCCCGCGCATGGGTGTTTTGGTGAAGGCTGGTTTCACCGGCTCCAAAGGCGACTACTTCCTGGGCAGAGACTCCGTTCCCATGACGGAGGCGGTGAAGGAGTTGGTCAAGAAACACATTTTCCCGTGGATCGAGGAACAGGAAGCAGCGGTGAGTGGCTAACACTAGTGGTGCGTAAGTTTCTGTCCATCTGCGCAGCTCATCCAAATTGTTAGAATGTCCTCCGCGTACCCTACCCAGGCATCCGCGTACAACAAGGTGAAGGGTCAGGAGGACAGTGCTGGACCTCATTTCCTGCGGACCCTGAGAAAGCTAGGCCGCAAAATTGTGGCTCAGGACCTAGCGATGATGCTGTACAAGACACCGTACCACCCGTACGTACAAGCGTCATCGCTGTGCCGTAACACCGAGTTCCGCAAATGGGCGCACGACGTCTTCCACACCCAGGAGAAGGCATCGAACGAGAGGAGAAATCCCACGGAGACAACAGAGGCGGTACGTCAAGTTCACCTCGTGTGAACGATTGAACTTTTGCGATTGTACAGAACCATTCGCACGAGCTCACACTGTGACACACAACGACCTGATTGTGCAGGAATATTCGGCCCGTCATGACGCCAAGGAAGCCGTCATGTGTCTGCGGACGCAGCTGGATCGCCAGCTTGTCAGAACGGCTGCGGAGGCCAACAAGGCATCTCGGACCATCCGCAAGCTGGAAAATGACAACAAAGCGAAGGAGGATCTCCTCCTGCAAAAGGATGCTGTCATCGCGGAGAAGGATACTGTCATCGCGGAAAAGGACGGAGAAATCGCACGCCTGCGTGCGTTACTCGAACAGCGTGCGGCGGGAACATGTCCGCCCTCGGATGTCTCCGGCCAGTCACCCCCGCCTGACCAAGGGGCCCAAAACGTGGACACACCAAAGGTGGAACCTCAGCAGCCCGCTGACACAGCGTACGAGAAGGATGTCGTGGCACCGTGGAGGACCTGTCAATCCGTGCAACATGCATGGGTGTTGTGGAACCTCCAACACCACGTCACCAAAAAAACCCTGCGAGACCGCTACGGGAAAGACACCTTGTTCGTCAAACGCCACTCCTACAACGGTGGCTCCGCAAGCGTCGGTGGGATTGCCGCAACCATGCGGCGCGTGAAGAGGGTGATGGATGGGGTGGAGGCATTGGGGGAAACTACGCAGGTCATTGGGACTCCATGGTGAAGCCCATCGGCGGGTGGAGCACGTTCACAGAGGCCATCGGCGTCGTCACGATGAACAAGGTCGTCGAGCCAGACGGCGACAAGGGAGTGGAGGCATTCACGGCAACGCAGTATAACCAGCTGAGGATCGCGCTAATGCTCGTTGAGGCGGAGCTGCGGACGAAGGAGTGGCTCATGGGGAAGTTCCCTACAACGTGGAACAAGATGCCCCAAAAGGTGGCAAAGGCGCCTGCGAAGAAGCGCCAAAAGGTTGCAAGCATGGGCTGACTGTTGTACTTGCGGATGGTTGTTCAAAACGTGCGCATGTTTTCAGAAACTTCTTGTACATATACCTTGTACATATCCAATGTGATGCATGACTGCGAACACTGTTTCGTACGTACGGAACATCTTTCACGAAGCACACCCAAAGGAACCAATGTTTTCACACACAGAAACGTACACGCAAACACATGCACGGTCTACTGCACACGATCATTCCTCGGCACGATCAAACCTAGGCACATCATCATCATCAGACGCAAGAGCGGGCATGGAATCAGGGGTAGAGACCTCCGAAGTGGCCACACCGTTGCCCTGAGAATGGTCAACCTCCGGCATGGCATCCTCCGAAGTGGCCGCACCGTTGCCCTCCTGACCGGGATGACCACTGACCGGGATCGCATAGCAAACGTTATACGCCTCCTGGGAAAGGAGTCCTTGGGCGAAATGTGCCATGGACGCACGAATGGCCCTTAAACCATCCGCATCCCTTGACGGATACCTTTCCCCACGGCGGCGTCGCTCTACGAAACCTTCCGTATCCATCAGCAGATCGTGCAGGAAACGAACGCACCAGACCCCAGAAACAGGGCTCCGCAACGACGGCTCCTCCGCCTCATGGAAAACATCACCACATACATGCATGTATCGCATACAGTCTTCAAGCACGGCGTGCGATGGGCACGGGTTAGGCGCGAGAAGCAGCTCAAGACGTGCCCTAGAAAGAAACCATCTGCAACAAATGTAAGCATCAATAACAAGGTTAATTGAAGCACTTCCGAAAGGACAACTCCTCATCTGCAAGCTCACCGTAGTATCCACCCCCACAACGGGCCCACCACAGCGTCGGAATGCAACGTGCGCATGGGCTTGGGGTCTATGAAGAAGCTGTGGACACGCGTTTCCTCTCCCTCCGGTTTCAAGAGATCACGCGGACGAGTAACGACGAAAATCGCGCACAGAGGCGGCTCCCCCTCGTGACGCCATCTGCATACGAACACGGAAACCTCGAAATGGGTATGTAGAACTTCGGACAACATCCGCAAGTGTTTTAATACGAAACAGGCCACTTACACGTTCCACACGGGGACGACAACTGCGTCGAAATCGAGAACGTGCACAGCAGGGCTTAAACCCTCTGGACCGATTTCCGCGGCCTCGGCATACGTCAAAACGCGCACGTTAAGAACGTGATTACTCTCGCACGCCCATCTGCATAAGGCAAGCGTCATTGTCACACACGTCGCAGAACGTACTATTGCGCAAACGAGCCGTACGTACATCAGGCCTAACTCGAGGGCAACCTCGCTGAGCTCCTGCGTAGGATCCATCATCCGCGTAACTTCGTCAGCCGTGAGGAGGTGCCGACTGCCAGTGTGGGTCTCCACTATCACACGCCGAGAAGCCATCACCAGGTGAGCAAACTAGAGTGATTGCAGAAGTCCGATGTGAAAAATGAGAAACGAGTGATTTGCTGGGCCTATTTATACCCATACGGCCACTAGAGTCGGTACGGCGGGCAGGCATAATTTCGAGGTGCCACGTGTAACGAGGACAAGTACATGCATTTTTCATCGAGGTTATTACATGCGCAGAATTCAGAACTATTGCCCTGGGAACAACATCTTAAAAAAAAAAAGGCAAGTGCTTCGAAGTCATGGGTTACTACGAATTAGATTTAGGGTAATATCTAAAAACAACCCCGTGCACCCCACCCTAAACCCAGAGAACACGCGCATGACTAAACAAAAAGGAGTCCACATGCGCAGAACCAGACGAAACCGGCCCAAAACCTACGGCGAGCATCAACGCTTTCCCGAACCTCCGCGCTGCATTCCCCCACGACCACCTCGCGCGCGAGTCTTGGTGACTGCCTTAGCTCCGGGAACCATCCACCTGCCAGTCTTGTAGGTGCGCTTCATCCTATACTTGGTGATCGACTTCATGCTGTCCGTCACAGGAGCCACCATACCAACAGCAGCCAAAGAAGAACGTCCGTCGGGGCTGTCGCACCAGTACGCCAAGGTATATATCATCTCCACGGCGATCCACTGCGACCAGGGATCTCCCTGCTTGTTCACCACCTGCAGAGCCTGAGACATGACCGTGTCGACCCATGCATTCGCATGTTCAGGCGCAACGGACCCTCCCTCCGAACGAGATACAACATGCATCACAGCCGAGATCACGTTCTCCAAGTTATCCGGAAGAAGTGGCCAAGCTCTCTGAAGGTCGATCTGCTTCCCCACTGCCATGGCCGTGCGAGAGGCTTCCGCGAATTGTGGCGCAGTCTCAGAGGCCACGTACCATGCTGCTGCGAATGTGGAGGCGATACAGACTGCGTACGCAATAGAAGGGAGTCCGGCAGGGGCCTCCAGCGAGGCAGTAACGTCCCCGATCGCCTCGCACACCGCAGCCTGGAAATCCAACCCTCTGTTCTCATTCGCAGACACGTTGCCGAAAAAAGTACGGAGCCTGCAATAGATGCATGTTCAACTTGTAAGGATGATCAGCAAATGCAACAGATGTAGAAAACAGGATGTGTAGAAGCAACAGAAGGATGTGCACACAATACCTGCCAGTGTCGCTGCAGCAGCCACGAGCCCACATGGCAGTCCACAACCCTTTCGGCAGCTTCTTGGCAACGGCCCACTCCGCCGGCCACTCCGGGTGACGCGCAGGCGCCTCGGGGTCGTTGGGATTCTCCCACAGCACCTTGGAGACGTGTCCGTCCAGCACCATCATGGCCACGGACACGTTGAACATCACGTCCTCGTGCTGCAACGAGTAGCCAACATAGCGGGAGCGTCCGCCGTGGACAATGTCGCCTGTCCAGCCAGGACCACCTCTCTCGGGGCGGATGCCGTTCCCCTTGCGATGCCTGCCTTCTTCGTCGGCCTCCCCTTCCGCTGGAGCACCATCACCTGCGCCAGAAGGATCATTCTCCGCCTCCTCCGCCTCCGCAAAATTCCCCTCGCGTGCAGCTTCCTCGAATTCCTCTCCGTATCCTTCAGGATCCTTGACATGCACATTTACGAGGTCCGCAGGCAAACGAAGCAGACCCCCGTCAGGAATAGCCCCGTGCTGTGCAGCAGGAACGACACGTTCCGGACGCGATTGCACATCGTGTTCGTCCGGGCGCTGCAGGATATGCAGCCCTGCAAACCCTGCCCTGATTCCTCCTAAACTCTCCTGCGGATCTTCCTCCGCGACTTGTCCCATGGCACGTCGGATCTCTGTCACAAAATCATAAGCGGGTGTAGAGGGGTTCGCACCGTGAATCTGTCCTGCACCAGGTGCGTGCACACCTTGCGACGGCAACGAACGACCAGCGCCCGGCCCGCGCGCCACCTCCACTCCTGCGCCATCCGCCACACTCTGCGTACGCGTCGCCAACCCACCACCGTCGGCACCCGCCATAACAGAGCCAACACGTTGGGTTTGCGCTACACCACCAGGAGAAATCTGGGCCGTCGTCGGGCGACCCAACACAAAACCCCCTCCCGAAGAAGGTTGCGCACCGTGAATCTGTCCTGCACCAGGTGCGAACACACCTTGCGACGGCAGCGAACAACCAACGTCCGGCCCCAGCGCCCCCTCCACTCCTGCGCCCTCCGCCACCCTCTGCACCGGCGTCGGCAACCCGCCGACGTCGGCACCTGGCATAACAGGCCCAACCGGTTGGGTTTGCGCAACACCACCCGGAGAAACCTGGGACTTCGTCGGGAGACCCAACACAATACCACCTCCAGCAGAGGGTTGCGCAACAAAATTCGGTCCTGCATCAGGTGCGCGCACACCTTGCAACGGCAGCGAACCTCCTACGTCCTGCCCACGCGCCCCCTCCACTCCTGCGCCCTCCGCCACCCCCTGCATACGCGTCGGAAACCCATCACCATCCACACGCGAAGCCTGCCTTTACTGGACATGACCCCCTCCATTGTCCTGTTCGCCAACCTTTGCCTTCTTCTGCCGCGCAACTTCGACTGGCTCTCGCGCCACACCACCTCGCGCCGCGCTCCCATCGTCTCCACGTGGATGCTTTGCACCGGCACCACCTCCCGCATCATGACGGGCCAGCCCTGACACTGCTGCAAACACCCCAGGAAGAGCCGCGAATCCAGCTTCTCCGAACGCTTTCTGCGTCGCCTCCTTCACCTCGCTGATAACCTCCTCCTTCAGCCCCTTTGTTGCGTCGGTGACTGCCTTGCGGACACGATCATCAACAGCCGTGACGATGGAGGCACCGATTGTTTCCAGGCTCTTGGCGACAACCCTCTCAACGCACGCGGCCACTGTCTTCTCGAGGGATTTCTCGAAGGCCTCTTGGAGGCGTTCAGACGCAGCTGTGACAGCGCTCGTCACGGAGGTGTTGACATGTGGAATGATGCCGTCAATGGCACCCTTTGCGGCTGTTTCGAGTTTCTCGCCCACGGTCGCAACCGCCACTTTCACAGACGTCAGCGTCTCCTCAGTCTTCACGCGCAACCCTTCGGCTTTCACCGCAGCTTCTGCGTGAGCAGTCACGAGTGTCTCCACACCTTTCGCAAAAGTCGCCTGCAACTCCCCAGATCGCTCCACCGCTGTCACCGCGCTTTTCGACACCCCATCCACCTTATCCAAAATCTCCCTCGCGTCCTGCAGCACCTTTGCGTACTTCTCCCTTTCCTCCCCAAGCTGCGTCACGGACCGCGTGAAGTCCGCCCTCAGTTGCTCCGTGCTGGTGCGCTCTTCTTCCAGCTTCTTCTCCAACCTCCTCCTCTCTCTCTTCTTCTCGCCCTCCTCCGACGCATCCTTCGACTTGCTTTTGCCCCTCCCCTTTCCCTCCATCTCCTTATCTGCACCGCCTTCCCTCCGCAAACCCTCTTCCAGAGTAGTTTCCCCTCCCACCACCTGTGTCGAGGTTCTCGACCCGCCCATCATAGCTTCCCCTCCCTCCAACTGCGACGGGGCCTTCGACCCGCCAATGTCGAGTGTGTTCCCCTGAATATGCTGAGTAGGCTGCTCATCTGGAGAACCAGCATGTGCATCAGCTTCGTCCGCGAGAGGAGGAGCTTCTTGGCCAGTCTCAGCCGCACCAGCTGTTGCAACCCCTGTCGATGGCATCACAAGAGGCATATAAGTCCCGTTGTAACGTTGACCGCTCGCCGTTTCCTCCACGAACGCGCAAACCTGCCTTCGCATAGCCTTGTAATCCCTCCGCAAGCTTTGGCGGCGATCAAACGCCTTGATGTCGGCGACAACGGCGTCCAGATGGGTGAGCAACAGCCTGTACAAGTCCGCGATGCGGACAATTGGGCACTTGCCCGCTTCCCTCATCACCCCGCAATCCTGCTCATGCACGCAAAACAAAACGTATGTTAACGGCTGCAGAAGGAACACCACCGACATCTCGAAGCAAAAAAAAAAACACACCAGCTGGATGATTTTGTTCCACGTCTGGAGGCGCTTGTCGACCTCTTCCGCCTTCGGCAGCGCAAACCCAGAGCCGCCGAAGCTCGAGAGTGCCTGCTCACGTGCCTTGCTGATAATCCACCTGCATGGGGACAGTCCAAAAGAATTAGTGATTCCCGTGAACGACTCATCTGTTATTTGCAAAAATCTACCTTTGAATAAACAGCACAGCAAGGGTCACACTCACTTGTGAACATCTGTGACAGCCTTCTCGTGGTCGCGAAGCCGTTGTTTCGCGTCCAGACTGAACACCACAGTGCGGTTCGTCGCGACCGACTCACGCACATCCGAGGCGTAGGCCACGACCAGCACGCTGCAGTGACTGGCCTGATGGTCCTTGAAACTGCGCACCAGGAAACGAAGGTTCAACGCGTACGCAGAGGAAACCCTAAAAGCGACGAATCCTTCTGCCTATGATGTTAGCTCACCTAGAGACGATGGGCACGGCAACGACTTTGGCCCCGCAGAGGCCTATCGTCTGAGGCAGGTCGCGACTTCCACCCTTTTCGAGCACCTTGCAGACGAACTCGGCGGGCACGACCCGTGAGTTGACTGGGTTCTCGAGGAGCGACTCTGCGTGCCTGCAACCAAATCGCGTGTGAAGCGTCAGCAGGTAATTTCATTTGCATGAGCAGAGTGATTCAGATAACAAACTCTTAACACAGCTTGCGCAAGCACTCACAACAGTGCAACCGTCAAGGCTGCGGGAGTGACGGGTGCTCTCTCGTCCGAAAGAGCAAGGTAATCTGTGTCCGTGAACTCTAGCTCGACATCGCGGTAGGGACGGTAACGGAACGGCCTGAACGACGCATCCTGCTCGACTAACCCCTCCTGAGGAGCAGACATCTCATGCGGAAGCAAAGTACGGAACGATCTCGTGGACGAGGAAATTATCTGGAGTCGCGACTAGCTCGTGCGGAAGCTAACTACAGACGGACCTCAAGGACGGGGGAATTAACTAGACTCGCGAGTAGCAGCGGAGGAGGCAACTACGGCGACAATTACTACTCAAGATTGCTAGAGCGGAGAACCGCGAGGGAAGAGAGTTCAGGGACAGGAAACTGGAGAATGAAAGCTTTTGAGAAGCAAATGACAAAAATGAGCCACATCGCCGTGACATACCCCAACCCCGTGAGGCTTGCCGATGGAAGCCAAAACGTGTGGGAAAGGAACGGCCAATCCAGTCCGTCCGATTCATGCGATGGGGAGCTGGTGCAATCGTCTCCAGGGCTGATCTGGAAGCCCATCCGAGACATTGGCCGATAATCACCCGTTCCCGCGCAGATGGACGAATCCTGGTCATAGATGAACATGGACGCGCAACGGGACCGGCAAACACCTCGTCGGAACGCAGAACACGTGGCTGCAGGGGAATGGAGTTGGTCCTGCATGGGAAGATTGCTGCACGAGGTTAGGGGTCGTCACTGATCCGTGGTGCACGTGGCAGCAGGACATGGGTCGTGGTGATGCATGGTTCCACGTCAAGGTCACGCCTAGTTCACGCCTTAATAAGTTTGACGTCAAGTTCACGCCTTTTTCTCGCCTTACGAGGTGCGACGATGGCGAGATCGGCGAGGGTCGCCGATTTGTGGCACGCAGGGGCTTCTGTTTCGCGCAGGTGCGTCGCGTTCCCTCGTGGGGATCGCACGGGGCGAGTTTGCCCGGGCCTGCTGTTTTCGCCTGGCCTTTTGTTTTCGCATTTGTATTCGCTACGTGAATTGCCTGAGAAATTGCCTTCGCGGAACCAGGTTGGTTTCCGGGTCGCCGATGGAGAACATGCGCGAGGGTTGTGCGCTCAGGTGGGGCGGGGAAGTGGCTTCGCGTGCAGCGGGTCCCGACAAGGCCCAGCTGGCGGGGTTTCAGTTCCGCCGACCTGTCGCTGGGAGAGCGACGGATCTGTCGCTCCCACGGGCAAAACGGGAGCGACGGACTTTCATCCGATGAGACACACAGCCAAATTGGAATCTGTGGTAACAAGACCACGAAATCGACTCACAGCAGAAATCTTAGGGCGTGTTTGCAGTGCCAGTCTTTCCTCACCTTTCATCTTCACTCACCTGCACCTGCAACTCCCCGTTCACCGATCCTTCCATCCATTCTCATATCCTTCGCTGCCCTAGCAACAACGAGCCTACTAAGGTGCACGACGCAATCAAACGAGAAGTTCATCGCATTGCCTTGGAGCTTGGGTTCTCTGCGCAGATGGAAGACCAGCATCTCCTGCCTGGCCGCCGCACAGACATCACTTGCCGCGATATTAGCTCTGGTACCACCTGGGCCTTGGATGTTTCTGTTGCTGATCCACAAAAGGGGTTTCCGCACTCCAACGCAGCTACGGTGATTGGTTCAGCAGCAGCCACTCGTGAAAGTGAGAAGACCACCCACTATGCTGCAGCACTTCGTGACCGTCCAGACATCGAACTGTTTCCCCTTGTCATCGAAACCTTTGGTTGCTTCGGCTCTTCGTTCAACAACTTCCTTCGCCAATGCAGCCGCAAAGGGGCGTCACAACTCCGCGACTTGAGTGGTGCCACAGATTCTCTTCCCCAGCTGTTTGAGACCAACTTCTACAAACGGATTTCTCTGGTCCATCAACGTGAGCAGGCTCGCACTGTTTGTCGTCGTGCACAAATTCGTTTTACCGAGGGCGTCAACCACGCACCACCCGAGGTGACTTCTCTTTCTGCAGCTGACTTTGCCTACTTGGGAGAGGACCATTGAGACATCACAGAGGCCTATTTGTAGGCCTCACAATAGGATTAGCCTGCATGTCTCTCCATATACTATATCTCTGGATTTGCCTTATATCCATCGCACATTTACTATAGTGTCAATAAAGAGGTAGAATAGCACCCTGCCATGAGCCCGGTGCAGACCCGGGTTCGATTCCCGGCTGGCACATGGAACATTTCTTCTTTCGCTTTTGTTTCGTGCATGCTGTCGTTGTGTTTCGTCAAAAGCAGTATATCTTCGTTGACGCAGTCAGAATTTCGCCAATCAACACCTTCGCTGACATAAATGTTGATTCGCTCTACTTTGTCAGCGCTGCCCTACCTCAACCTGCATTTTCTCCAAACAACCCCTACGCGACTATCCAATGTCCTGCAAACCGTTCTGCACCAGAAACGGACCTACCGAAACGCTCTGAAACGAGCCCTTATGACACATCCTCACGACACTGGGTTCGACATTCTTTCGCCCACGACTCTGTACTGGTCGCAGTCGCAGTCGCAGTCGCAGGTCGCCCGTTCTCCTCCCGACTTTTGCTACGGAAGAGGGCAAATCTGCGTGCTAGTTTGCACTTTCGGCCCAATTAATTCCTTCGCTATGTAGTTGAGTGATTCCCACGCCGCATTTTCTTAACGATGTAGATTACGTTCTCAGTCGATTGAATAAAGTGGAATTAGAACAGCATATTGTCCTTCCTGTGCGTCGTCCGTGCGACGGCGGGTGGGTGGCCCGACCAAACACCTCAACGATTTGTTGCGGGGGGGTAGTGTGGACGGGGGTAATTGGGCCGTGAGGGCAAGCAGACAACAGGATGCAATGACGTGAGTTTCGATACGTTTCGAATAATGAAATCGTTGAGACGTCTCGATGGGTAAAATTGTTGAATCGCCTCTGCGAAACTGGCTTTTGTTGTAAGCAGTGGCGCGGCGCTGCGCTAAGCAGCGATGGGATCATTTCTCGAAATAGGAGAGGGCGGACACGGAGAGGAGAGGGCGGAGAGGAGAGGAGGAGGGGGAAACGGAAGAGGAGAGGGCGGAGCGGAGAGGAGAAGGCGGAAACGGAAGAGGAGAGGGCGGAGAGGAGAGGAGAAGGCGGAAACGTAAGAGGAGAGGGCGGAGAGGAGAGGAGAAGGCGGAAACGGAAGAGGAGAGGGCGGAGCGGAGAGGAGAAGGCGGAAACGGAAGAGGAGAGGGCGGAGAGGAGAGGAGAAGGCGGAAACGGGAGAGGAGAGGGTGGAGAGGAGAGGAGAAGGCGGAAACGTAAGAGGAGAGGGCGGAGAGGAGAGGAGAGGACGGAAACGGAAGAGGAGAGGGCGGAGAGGAGAGGAGAGGACGGAAACGGAAGAGGAGAGGGCGGAGAGGAGAGGAGAGGGCGGAACGGAGAGGAGAGGGCGGAGAGGAGAGGAGAGGGCGGAACGGAGAGGAGAGGGCGGAGAGGAGAGGAGAGGGCGGAACGGAGAGGAGAGGGCGGAGAGGAGAGGAGAGGGCGGAACGGAGAGGAGAGGGCGGAGAGGAGAGGAGAGGGCGGAACGGAGAGGAGAGGGCGGAGCGGAGAGGAGAGGGCGGAGCGGAGAGGAGAGGGCGGAGCGGAGAGGAGAGGAGAAAGGCACTGAACGACGGTGAGCAAGGGAAGGGGTGGCGGTGGGGCGGCAGCGGGGACGAGAAGACAGTGTGAGCGGGGGGGCGAACGGGCGGGATGCTGCCCATGCTTCTCCATGTCTCTGACCGTGGCGGGCGAAACTGGCGAATCCCGCATAGGGCGGTTGTTGATAAGCTGTGGGCCGTTGGGTAAGGCGGTGTGAGCCGGGGGGGCAAGAAGGGGATCTGCTGATGCATCTCATGTCTTCGCACGCTCAGCGGGATGCTGGGCGGGGAGTGGGGGGAAAGGGGGGGAGGTGTGGGTGAAGGGGCAGACGAAATTAGCGGATCCGTGGGAGGACGGACTTGAAGCTAATCAGTGGGCCGTAGGGTAGTGGTGAGAGCAGGGTGGGGAGAAGCGGGTGGGAGATGGGGTATGAGGATGAGGGGTGGGGGATGGGAGGTGGGAGATGGGCGATGGAGGAAGGGGAGTGGGGGATAGGGGATGGGGATTTGGGATGGTGGATTGGCAAGGGGGGACAGAGGAACGTGAGATAGGAATTAGATTGATGGTGGGATGGGAGATGGGGGAATTGGAGATGGCGGATTGGAGATGGGGGAATGGGAGGTGGGGGAATGGGAGACGGGGGATCAGAGATGGGGGGAATGGGAGGTGGGGGGATAGTGGATGGGGGACGAGGAGATGGGCGGGTAACAGGATGCGGGGTAAGCGGGGGGAATACGGGGAAAAGGGGAGAGGGGATGGGAGAAGTGGGGATGGTAGGAGGGGGGATAAAAAAGTCGGGGTTTCCTCCTGGGGTGGATCGGAGGAGGGCGGAATGAAGGCCATAGGCTACAGCGGAAGGGAACGAATGAAAGGGGATGGGGAGAACCGCAAAGTGATGAGAAGAAGGAAATGCAGCAGCCTTACCCCTCATACAGCACCTCATCCTTCTTCCTCCAGCATTTCCCCCATCCAACTCCCTATCCTTCCCCCTTTCTTCCTGACCCTTCCACATGCCTCTCCTCCATCTCTTCAGCGGGAAGGCTAACCGTTTAAACTCACCTTTTTTCCTTTTGGCTCAATCGGCCTCAATCGTCATTGTGCAGAGCGCATGAACGTGCAGCAACATCACTTCTACTTCACTCTGCACTGCTTCCTGGTGCTTTTTTTCTCGTCCTGGGAGTACCACTTCCCACCCCTCAGCTTCCCCCAGCCCCTGCACATTGCTTTCCCTCACCTTCCCACTACACTGTTTCCCGCTGCTGCTGCTGCTCACACTCTTAACATCAATGTCCCTTCTTTCGTCCCCCTCCCCTCGCTGGAAAACAGCTCCGCCAACAGCAGCGCCAGCTGCAGCAACGCCAGGGCCAGCAGCGCCGGTGGTAGCTGTTTTAATGCAGTGATTGGAGTTTGACCCATTCTGTTCCCATTCTTGAAAACAGAAGCCTAGTTTCATCAAGAGATAAATGGTCTTTCGAAATTGTGCCCATATGCAATATTGCTTACGTTTATACCCATGGCAGAAGAGTACCGTTTTCTGTTTCATACCGTATGTTAAACATTGTGATGCAGATATCATAAGCTTAAACGATATACATCCTTTTGCATAACTCAAATATAGTATTTGTATCAAGTTTCTTCATACATAAAACTCTTCCATATTCTTCGCCATTAGGGTGCAGCGGGGAAAAGTGTAGCGCTTACGGAGTCTCGACTCTGTCGCTCCCCTGCCTTCTGCAAAATCTCACTGCCCAACCTGCTGCCCAGGTTCGAACGCAACTTATTCTTGGTGTGGTATGTTGGTCAGTACCCCGCGAATCTCTCTAGGCCTTGACACTAGGTTCGGTGGACCACACAGCGCTCGCCGAAACTCTCGTCGGCTCCGAACCTGACGTATTTCCCGCCTTCTCGCGTCGCACTCGGTGCTCCCGATTGCGGCGGACGCTGGAGCATAACCCGGTTCCAAGCGACGCTCCTCGCTGGCACATAAGATACACGTGTTCCACTCTAAATCGTCGCTTGAAAAATGGAATCTCTTGCGACACCCCGATTCACCCAAGGCCAGCCTACGTCGTCGCCTCCCAAGCCCATGCCACAGCAGCGAACATGTCGGCGGGTTCCCCTGCTTGCCTCGCTCCCTCTGCCACCCCTCTCGTCGCATTCCCCCGCTCGCTCGCTCTCACTCGCTACTCACCCGACGCCTATCGAAGTTGCTGCACCCACCATACAGAAACACTACAAATACGTCGCCGGAGTTTCTATTTCGTTCATCAGTCTCGACTAAAGTTACCCTGTGCTCCCTTCGCTACCAGCTGTTTAAGTCTGCTCAAGTGCTCAGTATACTCTGCAAACTCGTCGCGAAAGCTTAGCCGTAACCTTCTAACTCTTCGTCCGTCAGCAACATGGCCTGCATCGGTGCTGAAAACGCCTGCATGGACGTCGACGCGCTGTTCGCGAGCTGCTGGGAGCAAAACGACTCCCTCACTCGCTTCGTCTGCAGCATGATCGCAGCTCCACGCCTGGTAAGAACCACTTCCTCCTAGCCATTCCCTTCAGCTCTCGCAAGCCCTCGTCCTTTGTACCAGCAATGTTTTGTTCATAAGTTATTCACCATTTGTTTGCTGGTAATTTCATGACTCTTCTCCTTAGGCAGCAACTGACCTTATCTCGTTTTTCTCGTGCAGGCCGTCTCCAGCTGGATCAGGCCGTGCGAGCAAGCAGCAGTGGAGGTGCTGTCGGTTCCCGTTCTCCCTGTTGTCGCTCTTCTGGAAGAAGCTGCGTCAACAGATGCAGAGGTAGAAACCGCTGCTGTGGCTGTTGCTGTGACTGTGGATGCTCCAAGTGTGACTGCTGCCGTTTCGAGTCAGGCTGAGGAAGCAGAGGAAACTGAGAACGCAGAGGAAGCAGAAAAGGCAGAGGAACCGAAGGAACCGAAGAGGAAAGCTTATTCGTTCCTGGAGCTGCTTGCTCAAGAGGACTCGGTTGCCTCTCGTACCTCCTCAGTTGACTCGGTTTCCAAGATTGATGCTTCCTCAGCCAAGGTTGCGGCCTGGTTGGGTGTGAAAGGCGGATCAGAGCAGGGTGGGAAGGCGGAATCAGAGGCACAGCAGGGTGGGAAGGAGGTTGCAGGGGCGAGCATCGGGTGGAGCAGCTTGAGTCGCAGTGAGAGCAGCTGCAGCAGCCGCAGTGCGTGTCTCATCCACCTCTCCTCGGACTCCTCCTCCTGCTCCTCCTCCGCTCACAGCCTCTGCAGCAGCCCCACTGGCTTGACGGCGGAGGTAGCTGGTGTGAAGAGAGGGATTGGTCGAGGCGGTTCCAGCATTGGGAAGGGATACTCTCTGTCCACTGCTTACCATTTCACTGATCTCGTGGCAGCTGAGGAAAAAACAGTGAAGAGTGGGATCGGGAAGGGCCTTTTCTGCAATGGTAAGGACTGGAGCATGGAGGTGAAGGGGTTTGGGAAGGCGGAGGAGGGACGGATTGCCTCAAACCAGCTGTTTGGGTGTGATGACGGGGAGGAAGAGGAGGAGCATGGCAGTAGCAAGCATAGTGTGCTACATGAATCAGCTGTATATGGATGAGGAAGAGGAGGAGGAGAGGGAGGCATTGGCAGCATCAGGCATTTCGGTAGGCATCGGCAGGTTTGGAGCCAGGCGGAGAATCACAGGCTCTAGCAGCCGGGTGACTCTTAGGAGAATCAGTGCTGCACTGAGACAGTATTAGATTAGATGGTTACAATTTGTAGTAGCAGCTGTGGCTGGGCCAGAGTAACTAGACTGCCTGAATGGCATGCCTCTAGAACCTGGTCTTGTAAATAATTTATATACATCTTGTTCTTCAAAACACTAAAGCTGGTCAATCATTCAGCAGCAGCCTTTATCAATAAAATATTTACCCCAATTAGGGGTCCCTTAGCTGGCATTAACTAAGGGACCCCTGATTGGGGTAAATATTTTCTTGATAATTAATTAAGTAGTATATAAACCACATCTGTAAACCAGCTCACATGAGCTGAATGCCATTTCTTGAAATGTAATAAAAACATCACAACCCCATTCCCCCTTTCAGCAACTCATAGTACATAAGCAACACTTCAGGTAAATAGATACTGCCGTTGACGCTCCATTCCAGATTCATCCATTCAGTTCCCTAACTCCAAGCTTCAGCTTCTGCAGCTCATCATCAGCCTCCTCCCTCCTCATCCTCTCCTTCCCACGCAATATGCTGGGCTAGGCTGATTCGACTCAAAAGTGCTCAAAAAAACCACCAGTCACATCACACCCACATCACAGGCCCATCACAACCCTATCTCCTGCTTCAGCTTCTGCAGCTCGTCTTTGATCTCCTTCTCCTTCCCCTTCTATATCCTCTCCTCCACACGCTCTGCTGCGCTCTAGCAACCGGTAAAACTCAAAAGTGCATTCCAGATTCACTGGCAATCTGACACATCACAGCCCCATCTCGCGCTTCAGCTTCTGAAGCTCATCATCAATCTCCTTCTCCTGCTCCTTCTTTATCCTCTCCTCCTCCACACGCTCTGCTGCGCTCTAGCAACCGATAAAACTCAAAAGTGTATTCCAGATTCACTGGCAATCTGACACATCACAGCCCCATCTCGCGCTTCAGCTTCTGCAACTCGTCATCTATCTCCTTCTCCTTCTCCTTCTTAATCCTCTCCTTCCACGCGCTCTGCTGCGCTCTATTCGCAGATGACCCAGACGAGTAGGAGGATGACCCGTACCCACTGCTGCCACTGCCACTGCTGCTCTGGCTGCTGCTGCCTCTGCTGCTCGTGCTTGCACTGCTACCGGTGCTGCTACTGCTTCCGCTGTTCGCACCCCTGCTGCTGCTGCTATTGCTGCTGGTACCGCTGCTGCTGGGGCCACTGGTGCTGCCATCGGGTCGGCTGCTGGCGCCAGAGTAGAAATACTCCTTGCTGTAGTTGGGCTTCTCTTGCTGCTCCGGTACATTCTTCTCCAGGAAATCCACCAAGTCCTCTCCAAGGTCCTGTTAACAGGGAATGCAATATGGAGGGTGTAGTTTTTTTTTTTTGCAAAAATTGTAGCATGAGTACTGAGTGATAGACAGGAATGCAATAGCGCGCACGCTCCTCCTACAGGGTGGGTTTCGGATTGCCCCCCTGCTCCCCTGCTTCTCCACCCCTCACTGCACTCACACAGGTCTGATCCCAACCAACCCACGCCGCCCCAAATCCTCAAACCCCCAAAACATTATCCACTGCAACACTCACCGCCAGTTCCTCCCACAGGCTCTTGGGCTTGCCAGTGCCGCGCTCCTTGTGCTTCTCCTCAAAGTCTTTTTGAAGGTCCTTGAAGAAATCGTCTGCGCGCATGCAGTGGGCACGGGGCACGGGGCATGGGGGGCGGGGCACGGGGCACGGGGGGGCGTTGTGCAGGGCACGGAGGGCAGGGTGCAGGGCACGGGGCATGGGAGGCGGGGTGCGGGGGGAGGGAAGATGCAATCTGAGTCGACACAAAACCACTCCTGCTTCTCCTCAAAGTCGTTCTGAAGGCCCTTAGAAAAATGGTCGGCCCACAGACACAAGGAGGGAATGGGGGACACGGGGAGGAAAAGCACGGGCATGGGGAGGGAAGGGCAGAGATGCACTCTCAGTGGACTCAGCAGATACCCTGCTCCTTCTGCTTCTGCTTCTGCTTCGCCTCAAAGTCTTTATGAAAGTTGTTGAGGGTCGACGAGAGAAAAACACTGCTCCACTGTTCCACTGCTCCACTGCTCCACTGCCCCACTGCCCAACTGCCCCACTGCCCCACTGCATCCACTGTTCCACTGCCCCACTGCATCCACTATTCCACTGTCCAAGGTCCACCCCACCCGCCCACGACTGCACTCACCGAGGTTGTAAATGTCATCTGGCTTTTCTGTCGGCCCTTTTCTGCCGGCCCTTTTCTGCCGGCCCTTTTCTGCCGGTGCTTTTCTGCCGGTGCTTTTCTGCCGGTGCTTTTCATGCATCAAAGCACTAGAACCACTATCAAATCCCCCTTCACAACCCTCCACGACCGTACAAGCCAACCCACACACTCACGGAGATTGCAAAAACTAATCTGGCTTGTTCGTCAGCCCCTTCCACGCATCAAAGGGGTTGACAGGAGGAACTATCCACTGCACAACGCAAAAGTAATCTGGCTTGTCCCTCTGCCCCAATGCAACCACTATCCAGCTGGCCAAAAGCGCACTCACCACGACTGTAAGATTCACCTGGTTTGTTCGCTCAAAGAGACTGTAAAGGAGCCCCATTCACGCGCATCAAAGAGGTGGATGGGTCACACAAAGGCATTGCCCTGTTGCCCCCATTACGCTCTGCTCAGCAACCCTGCACTACAAGCCAACTCACCCATACACTCACCGTAAAGTCATCTGACTTGCTCTTTGGTCCTTTCCACGCATCCAAGGGATCAAACAGGCCACTGAAATCACCATCCCACAGCGCTCTATACCCTCCCCTCCCCCTCTCTCTCTCTCCCTCCCCTCCCCTCCCCCCGCCTCCCCCCTGCCCCCTGCACCATACTCTCCCCGGACTGCCCAAGCCAACCCACACACTCACCGAGGCTGTAAAAGTCATCAGGCTTGTTCGTTGGCCCCTTCCACGCATCAAACGGGTCGAATGGACCACTGAAATCAGCGTCCCACTGCGCTCCATACCCTCCCCTCGCCCTGGTGCTGCTGCTTGTCCGCGCCCACTGCTGCTGCTGCCGCTGGGAGGCTGCGCGCGCCTTGGCGTTGGCAGCAGCATCGGGGTCTGTGAGCGTCTGATACGCCTGCTTTATGCGCACAAAGCGCTCCTGGGCGTCGGGCTGCGGGGGAAGAACGGGAAAATAAAGGAGGAGGAGTGGGACGAGGAGGGGGCGGAAGGGGGAGAAGGGGGGGAAGGAGGAGAAGGAGGTGGAGGAGGAGGAGGAGGAGGAGGAGGAGGAGGAGGAGGAGGAGGAGGAGGAGGAGGAGGAGGAGGAGGAGGAGGAGGAGGAGGAGAGCAGCGTTTCAGTCTCGTGTTTGCTGCTGTCTCAAATCAACAAACACCAAAGCGACTGTGCGGAGAGTGGGAGAGGTGAGGGAAGAAGAGCGAGGTGAGGGAAGAAGAGCGAGGTGAGGGAAGAAGAGCGAGGTGAGGGAAGAAGAGCGAGGTGAGGAAGGAAGCGCAAGGCGATGCGTTCACAATCTCTAACCTATTTCACAATTCTTGACTTTTGACAACTTTTTTTTTACCATCGCCTTTTTTCACGTCTCAATAGGCGATGCGTTCACAATCTCTAACCTTTTTCACAATTCTCGAGAGTGTCTCACCGCTTTATTCACGTCGGGGTGGTACTTAAGGGCCAGCCGCCGGAAGGCGGACTTAATCTCCTTCTGAGACGCGCCTCGAGCCACTCCCAGCACGTCATAAGGCGACTGCTCCGCTCCCGCCGCCGCTACAACAACCACTCCCCCCCCACCGGCACCCCGTACCGCTGCAGATACTCCCCCTTTCCGTTCCGCGCGCCTCCGCAATCCACCGGCAATCCCGCTGGTTACCCATACTCCCCCAATCTCCCCGCTGAACCACCCGCATTGGCGCGCAGTGGCGGATTGCCACGTGTTGAAATCGGCTCCGAAATTCGAGAGTGCCGCGCGCGTCGCTATGGAGACAGGCGTGCCACGTCGACCGTGAGCGCCGAAGCGCGGGCCGCGAATGGCGGCGTGGCTGGCGCCGCCATTCGACAGGCCATATAGCGATGCTACAGTCCCTGACGACGCTGCTGCCATCTGAACCAGTTTAAGAATGGGATCCGACGCGGGAATGCGGCCTGCCTGATCAGCAACGCGCCGCGATATTTAAACTAAACAACAGCCACGTGGCAACGACGAGTTTGTCTATCACCGCTTCAGGCTCGGCCGTACTTGGAGGCGTATTGTACGGCGTGGTTCCCAGCGTCGTTTGCAAAATGGTTATTGAAGTCGAACTGAAAATATACGCGCGGAGCGTGGAGCGCGGTGCGGTCTGATTCGTGAATCCCTGAATCCAGAACCGTGAATCCTGAAAGGTGTTGGTTGACTCACGTCACCCAGTCCTCGAGGTTGGAAAAGCAGGGCTGACTCATCTACGGTGCGGTGGAGGTCATGATCGCGAACGCGCATCCGCACCGTTGAATCGCAGGTGTGCTCTACACACCAAAATCAGCGATTCTGGGCTGGGCTGATTCGACTGAGAGCGGAAGCGGGGATGCTGGATCCCCGTTATAACAGCTGTTCGTGAATCTAGGCCTGCAGCAAGACCTCGTGAAACTTGTCAAACAGTTGTTCTGTAAGAGTGTGTTCAGGAGTAGTGCCAACAGGAAACGAGTATGAGCGCTTGACATCTCTATATAATACAGCATACCCCTCGTAAGGGAAACAAGTCCACAGTACCAGCCAATACCAATGCCAGTGACCTTGATTTTTATCACCATTATTGTTGCCATTGCTGTAACAGTAATCGTGACAACTATCTTAACCGCAAGTGTACCAGGGAGAGTGCTCCGTCACCTCCTGGGCTGGCCTGTGGCGGCACTCTCCATGCTGTGAGCACATGGTCCACTATGGCCGGTACCCCCACCCCATGCTTCATCTGGTTGTGGGAGAAAGGTGATTGTTTGGATTGGGTGGATGGGAGCAGCACACATGGGATGTATGAGCACATGCACACGAGGAAGAACAAATGTTCACGCATGTGCACATGGTGCCATGCAGGGCAGTCCTCCATGCTGACAGCACATGACCCAGTAGGGCTGGCACCCCCACTCCATGCTTCACCTGTGTGCATGGGTGGATGGGTGCATGCATGCATGTATGAGCACACACAGCATGCATGCAGAACAGCACTTCATGCTGTGAGCTCACGGATCTCTATGTGTACCCATCCTGTGCTGGCAGTGTGGCATCGCCAACCCGTGCTTCACTAGTGCAGCCCAGCCGCATAGAAAAAGGAAAGGCAGAGGGACAGGCACAAGTTAAACAACCTGGAAACAACAACTGCTTGCACAGGTGAGAGGAGTGGTTTCGCCAGCACCCATGTGTCGACTCTCTGTAAAAACACTGGCGTCAGACACGCCTCTCTATCCCGCTATCCCCTTCCCCCCGCTATCCTCTAAACCCTAAATCTCCCCACCCCACTTGTGCAAACACCAACGGTCCCCCATCCCCGATGCAAAGCGCGTCCTTTTCCATGCTCACGTGATAATAGAAGTGTTTTGAGACGTCCCATAGCACTTCTATTATCATACATCCCTTTCCATGACTACCAGGCCACATGCGCAGCTATCCTCCTTATAGGGATGGTCCCTTTACAAGTCCCACAGGCACACGTATCTTCATTCCCCTCCTGTCCCCAAACCCACCCACCTGTGCAAACACCAAGGGCCCGCCATCCCTCATGCGAAGCGCATCCGTTTCCATGACCGCCAGGTCAGCACCGATCGCCGGCGCCAGGTCAGTCTTGTTCACCACCTGATCATGCCACGTCAGCATGGGAGGATGGACGCAGCAGAGAACAAAGCACAGGAAGGGAGACCAAGAAGCGGGGGGAGGGTGGCGGGTTTTAATAGGAAGGGAGACACTTGTTCTCACCCCCTGCTCTCACACCCCTGCTCTCACACCCCTGCTCTCACACCCCTGCTCTCACACCCCTGCTCTCACACCCCTGCTCTCACACCACAGTGCAACTCACCTCCGACTGACTCGCACAGCAGCATATCCGCCTTAAACTCAGCAGAAAGCTCCTCGAGCGGCCCCAGGTTGATGCTGATGTCCTCCCGGATGGCGGCGTGCGGACAACCGCCCGTCTCCACGGCGCGGATGCGGCCGGGCGGCGAGAGGGCGGCGTGCTTGATCAGGAACTCGCCGTGAAGATGTCGTTGGTCACCGCTGCCAGGCTGTACTGGTCTCTGAGTGTGCGGCAGAGAGCCAACATTAGGGCCGTTTTCCTGCGTGAGGGTGTGGGGGGAAGGGGGGGCAGCGGAAATGAGGGAGCTAGCTGTCATAGTTATCCTCTTGCGTGTCGTTGGTGACGGCTGCCAGGCTGTACTGCTCTCGTAGCGTGTGGCACAGGTCGAGCATGAGAGCCGTTTTGCTGCAGGAGAATAATACGGGTTGTCAACGTGGGGTGCATGCGGGGGGGAAGGGGGGAGCAGCAGAGGGCATTAGGGGAACTCGCCGTCCCCTATGAAATCTCCCTCCCTTCCTCCCTCTTCCCCTTACTCCCCTTCCCTCCCCCACACAACCTGTGCGCAATGCACCCCTTCAGATTCCCCTCTCTATCTCCCCCCTCCTCACTCTAACCTTCCCCTCCCCTCCCCTCCCCTCCAACCTTCCCCTCCCCTCCAACCTTCCCTTCCCCTCCCCTCGCTTATCCTACCCTGATCCGACGGGCCCGCCGATTCCAACGGTAAACGCGCGCTCCGCCAGGTCGCGGTTCGGCAAGGGCGGCGCGCGCAGCGCGAAGCTCCCCGCGCTGTCGAGCGGCTCGTGCGAGTGCGGCGCGAGCCCGTAGTGCGAGTGGTACACGCGCCCGTCCGCGCCGCGGAACTCGTCGGACGGTGCTGACGCGTCGCCGCTGGATTGGACAAGAGGTTTCTCAGAAAATAGAGCACACACATCAAGATGAGGAAAGGAGGGGAAACGGAAAATTGATGATAAAAGATACGAATGCACGCAAGTCTGGCGGTTAACGGGGAATGCAAGCAACGGAATGGAAAGGGAGGGAATTTTAAAAAAAGGAATGCACGCAAAAAGAACGGTTGGCGGGCAGAGAGACGCAGAGAGCGCTAGATTACGGAAGAACGAGAATGGATTCCAGGGATCACTGACGTTGCAGGTTGGTCGTGGTGGTGGTGGTGGTGGTGGTGGTGGTGGTGGTGGTGGTGGTGGTGGTGGTGGTGGTGGTGGTGGTGGTGGTGGTGGTGGTGGTGGTGGTGGTGGTGGTGGTGGTGGTGGTGGTGGTGGTGGTGGTGGTGGTGGTGGTGGTGGTGGTGGTGGTGGTGGTGGTGGTGGTGGTGGTGGTGGTGGTGGTGGTGGTGGTGGTGGTGGTGGTGGTGGTGGTGGTGGTGGTGGTGGTGGTGGTGGTGGTTGCGGCGGCGGCGGCGGCGGCGGCGGCGGCGGCGGCGGCGGCGGCGGCGGCGGTGGTGGTGGTGGTGGTGGTGGTGGTGGTGGTGGTGGTGGTGGTGGTGGTGGTGGTGGTGGTGGTGGTGGTGGTGGTGGTGGTGGTGGTGATGGTGATGGTCGTCGTCGTGCGAATGAGCGTGCGCGTGCAAATCCGCGGCATGGCCGTGGCTGTGCGCCGCATGACCGTCGTCGAGCGAATGATCGTGGCTGTGCGCAGTTCCGCCTTCCGCCTGCTGCCGCGCTTCCGCTCCGTCGTCCCCAGCCATTCGTCTGATAAGATTCGATTTGTAGGAGACTGTTTCTTTTCTCAAGTAACCGTCGTACAATGTTGCAAAAACCACAACGGTCGCAAAAATCTCGTCTAAAAAGCTGCTCCGAGTAACCTCGTGTATCAAAACAGAAACGAGGGAAAAATGGAAACAAAAAAGGCAGCCGGCCAGCGCCGCGCGTCGAAAGAACGGAAATCCCAAGGGTACCCAGGGCGTTACCTTCGGGATTTCCGCAACAACAGGAATCGAGCAGCTAAGGCAAGGCGTGGCGAGCAACCCGCTGGACAAAATGGCTTGGAGAAGAGACGAGGGGCGACACGACAGCAGCGAGCAGTCGTTGGAAAGCCTTGGGAACAACGGAATTAGCTGTGGCTGGAAAAAGTACGGCGCTCTGGAGAATCTGTGGAAATGGCAGGCGGGCAGAAACGAAGCAGTCTGCAATGTGGGCGAGGCTTATATTGCGGATAATCCGGATCGATAAGCGCGCGCAAGCCTATCGGCACCTCCGAGAAACTACAGCGACAAAGTGCAGCTTTCGTCCGTTGTATCCATTTACATCATGTCGATATAAACACCACCAGCCTAGCTGGATCCAGGTCGAAACTATTTCCGTAAACTAATCAGGGCATTCATTTGCTAAAAGAAACATATATATGTATATATATATATATGTGAAAAAACAGGCCAGCAAGAAAATCATCATACCACCAACGTCCTGAGCTTTTGATCATAAGGCGACTCGACAGGTGATTGTGGTAACCACTGCCACATGCCCATGGGCGGCATTCCTGACATGGCATATGGCATGGCAGGCACATGCAGGTACTGTGGACCAGATGCAGCAGCAGCAGGTGAACCAGCGGCACCAGCTGAACCTGCTGAACCACCAGTAGCAGCAGCAGCAGGTGAATCAGCAGCACCAGAAGCAGCACCAGAAGCACCAGCTGAACCGGCTGAACCACCATCGCCAGCAGCAGCAGCAGCAGCAGCAGGATGGGATGGAACAGGATGACCTGTACCAAGGTGGTTGCCTGCAGGGGCACACTTGCCTTGCACACTGCGAGGCTGAGGACGGTGAAGGTGCGAGTGGGGAGGAGAGAGAGGATGAAGCATCCCCCCAGGCATGAATGGCACGGGCATCAAGCCCATGGGTGCTCCCATTGGGCCCAGCTTGCCCGGCTCGCACACCGGATGCAGCATCATGGACACAGCACCAGGCGAACCCGGCGCACACGCAGCAAACCCAAGGGGAGGAGAAACAGCAGCTGTCGATCGGGAGGCTGAAGAAACCATTGATGCTGTTGCTGACGTGGCGGCGGTGGATTGGGCGGCACCAGATGCTGCCAAGCGGCGGACCTCGTCTTCCAGCTGCTGCTTGTTGGCCAGCAGGCGCGCCCTCTCCTCCCTCAGCTCACTCTTCTCCGCCTGCTCACGGGAATGTGTGTGCGGCCCAGGGCGCGAAATGCATAAGGCATAAGTCGTAGACCGAATGGCACAAGCGTGACAAAAGACTTGATAAGAATGGAGACACTTATGCATGAACATATGTGAAAAAAAACACCCTTCCGCCTCCTCCCTTTCCCCTCCCCCCCACTCCTCTCTCCCCCCCCCCCTCCGCACCTTGAGCTCTTGGATCTGCTCGCTCATGTGCTGCGCGGAGCCCCTCAGCCGGCTCGTCTCCGCCCTCAGCTGCGCCAGCACGCGCACCGCGTCCACCAGAATGCTCCCCCTGTCCGCGCGCGCCAGCTCGCTCCGCTCCAGCGCCCGCGCCAACTCCTCGAACCTGCGGTAGAGGGGGGGGGGGGGAGGTAACAAAGGAGGGGATGAGGGGAGAGAGAGGGAAGGACAGAGCTGCAAGGCAAGTAATCATAAGGTGCCCAAAATACCAGGCGCTTGCGGCCGTATTCTTCGAGAGAAACGAATGGGGATAACAGAGAAAGCGAGTGATTGCGCATCGACAGCACCAAGCACGCACCTGTCGTTGAGTCGGTCGCGGCGGATCTTCTCCCGATTGGCCTTGTTGCTGTTCGTCTCGCTCGGCTCCTCTCGCTGCCTGGTGACACACGCGGGGGACGCAGGGGGGTGAGTGAGGAGAGGCGGAATGCGCCAGGAGAAGAGAGAGAGAGAGAGAGAGAGAGAGAGAGAGAGAGAGAGAGAGAGAGAGAGAGAGAGAGAAAAAACCGGCCAATTATGAGGGAATGGAACGAGGGGCAGAATTGCTTTCAGGATGAATGCTTTCATGGTAGAGACGCTAAGGGACGTAAAAAAACAGATAGACAAGCAAAATGACTCGCCTTTTATGGGAAGCGGCGCCGCCGGTGTGGTGTTCGCCCTCCCTGCGGCTGCCGTGCGACTGATCTTTGTATTGCGACAGCTCTTTCCAATGCGACGGGTCCTTGTCCGCAGCACTGCTCTCATTGGCCCGACTGGACGTCCTGCACAGGAGGAAAGAGGAAAGGGGAAACATGAGGACCACGTGGAAACCGAACGACTCGTTCCAGGGGGAAGGGGAAATGGGAGAAATCGAGCTGATGAGAAGCGAGGACGGGCCGAGCAACGCCGGCAACCACGGCGAAGAGTCACGAAACGGCACCGCAAAGAGTTACCATTAGTAGGCGCAATCACGCTTACCTCTCTGATATCATGCTGCTATAGAGTTACCATCAGTAGTAGGCGCAATCGCACGTACCTCTCGGAATCCTGACACGCGGAATCATGCTGCTCGGCCAGCATATTCTCTAGCAGTGTGGAACGCCCGTCACCGTCAACGTGAACGATGACGGAATCCGTCAGGTCGTTCATCCACTGGCACTGGCTGGTAGGAAACGACCCAAACAGCGCCGCCATGAGGGTGGGAGTAGTGATACCGGCGGAAAGGGCGGAAAGGTGTTGGCGGAAGAATTCGGGTAAAGAAGCGAGTCAGGCGGGAAAGGCAGGAATGACGGGTGAACGCGCCGCGAAGCGCTTAGTTGTTTGGCGAGTCGTCAGGCGTGAAAGTTGGAAGTATTTTTGGCGACTCAATAAGGCAATTCGTGACGAGAAACAGGGATGCTGGACAGAAAAAAAAAGGGGGGGTCACTGCAGAGATCGCGAAGTGTCCGAAGCCTTCTGATTCAAAACTAATGAGTCGACAGGGACAAGCCGCAAATAACAGGGAACGTAGCCTAAGCGAGGCGCCAAGACAAGAAGTACGGTGCAAGGGAGCTCACGTGTGCTCTAGGCTCGGCTTGGAGCTCGAGGGACAGCTTTTCATCCACACCCCTTATATCAAGACCAGATAGCTAGCTGCCGCCGCCGCCCTGGAAAGGTACTAGGATAGGGATTCGCGACGCGAGCTGCCACACCTCTTTGCTCGACGACCATTGGAGGTTGAGATCGTCAGCGGAGGCATGATAAGGCAGCATACTGTTGCGGAGCACGCCACGTCACCACCTAACCGGCGGGTTTCTGAACCTTCGATCTCTGTGAAGTGGTTACACTAACGAGACCGTTCTAGCAGGGCCGAGAAACCGGTAAGCAGCAAAAACGCCACGCCCACAAGCCGCTTAGCAGGCGGCTACCGCAACGCGAGCCGCTAGCGCTGCGACTGGGTGGAAGAGAGCGAGAGAAAGAGTGTGGCGAATCGTCGTGACGTGGCTGGTCCGGAACTGAGGGTGGGGGAAAAGGGGCAAGGGTGGGGGGGAGGATGGTGTGGGCCCGGCCGCTAGTGGGTTGGGGGGAGGGTGGGGGGGGTGGCGCTCGTATGAACCTTCGAGAACGTCCCCGTTCGCGGCATCGTATTCTTGACTCTTCCTTCCCCGCCTTCCCTCCACACAAATCTTATCTTGAACTGAGGGGTGTATGTGAGCAGAAGTCAAAAGCACCGATCTGTACCTTTCCGAAATACCTATGCAACGTCTTACTAATCTGAATCGCTTCGTCTCTTTCCTCACCTCTCCGCCTATTGGTCGATTAGGTGACTTTTGAGTAACTCAAAGGTCACTCTCGAATCGGACTCTTCACGACGATGGCCCCGCTACCCCCTTGGCGCCCTTGGCCATTCAAGCTCCCCCCTCCCCACCCTCACCCCCACCCGCTTCTCCCTTGCCGAAACTGAGTAGATTCCGCCCGACCTGAGGAGTATATTCCGCGCTACCTAGTGAAGGTTGGGTGGATGGGTCAGCCCCAGTCCAGATCAGACCGAGTGACCACCGTGAGAGAGTGCAAAGCGAGGAAGTGTGTCCAACCGAATCAAGACAAGAACGGCCTCTAAGAGACAGTGGCCATTGCTGTGCTGGCAGCAGGTAGCGCGTGACGGGGAGTCCTGATTAGTCCACCCCTGACGAAATCCAAAGTGAATGCCAAAATCCTAAGTAGCTGACAAAATGCGAAGGGACCGTCGTACATCCGTAATACAGGAGGACTGTGGATTTCTGTAACTGCAAAAACAAACGAACAAAACAAAATGGAATTGCTACAGTGCAGGTGTACGTTTTCAACATGCTAACATACTATAAAGTTTTTTTCCGGATCCCTTACCATGCACCTCAACAACAAACAAGACCCAGGAGTTTCTTTGCCAGTTACTGCCCAATGGTGTTCGCCACTTCGCGCGTCACTTTTACCAAACCTCGCACTGCTGGACTTGGCCGAGTCGACCTACGCTTCGGGAGTAGCCCGAACCTCGTTGCTAGCATCGCACTAGCTACATCGCAGGAGAAAGTACCTCGCAGGAGGATCATGGCCTTGTTGTCAGTGAACAAGGTCGGTGTAGAGAGAGGCCGCTCACCAAAGTTGGTGAGCAAGAAGGTCAACAATCGAAGCTCCTGCGCAGCTACGCCACCGGCATATATATGCCTTTGAGTTAGTCTGTGCCATAGACGACGATCGAGAAGACATCCACGAAATAGCTCCAGTGCCCAAGCTGAAGCAGTTGCCCCGGGTAGACTGCTGGATCTGCATGTTATCGGTGTAGGAAGAGTCGTAGTGACTGGTCTGCACAACTGGCCCTGTCCCTCCAAGCACAAGCCTCATGCCTGATGTAGTCGCCAAGTACTTCGCCACCCTCACAGCAGCCGTCTAGTGAACAGGACGGTGTCTCCCAGTCGCAACAAAGCGAGAAAAGACGTTGAGAGGAAATGTGAGGTCCGGGCGAGTACAAATCATCAGGCAAATGAGGCAGCCCACAAGCTCTGCATAAGGACCACTGGACTCAGAGGGCTCGTCGGAAAAGAGCTGGTGAGTCTGTGGTCAACAGCAAGAGGACTAGGCTGTGTGGTGGAGTGCTGAAGCCCGAACTGCTGAAGGACCTGCTGCACCATGTGTGACTGGGTCAGTGTGATGGTGCGAGCGGTTCTGTCCCTGGTGATCTGCAAGCCAAAATAGAGGCGCAGTTCACCCAGGTCAGCGCACGTGTGTCTCTTCACCTCGCCAGAGCAACCGTGTATGCTGTAGCGAAGACCAGGTCGTCGACGTAGACAGGAACGAAGAAAGGTGTGGGCCCAGTACGAACGAACAACGATGGGCGGCAGTAGAAGGTCGGAAACCAGTGTCGTGCCACTCACGTGGCGCCTGGCGGAGACTGTAGACTGGTCGTCTCAGGGTCCACTGGGTCCCAGGCAGGAAGCCAGGAGAACGACCCAGCCAGATCTCCTCGTGCAGGCGGCCCTGGAGAAAGGCAGTAAAGAAGCCGAGGGAGTGTAGCTCGTAGTTTCGTTGTGCTGCGACGTGAAGTAACACCCGAAGAATGGTCATCTTCGCGGTCGGGGCGAAGGTCTGGAAGAAATCAACTCCCTCACGTTGACTCAAGCCCCTAGTGACATAGCGTGCCTTGAAGACAAGAGGTGATCCGGGCGGCCGATTCACCTTGAAGATCCACATGCCATCGACTACGTTCGCCCCAGGCGGGGGAACTACGTCGACGGAAGTGCCTGTGGATCTCCAAGAAGCCATCTCTGAGTCCATGGCTGCTATCCACTGAGAGGCCCAATGCCCTGATACTGCCTCATAGTACGTACGAGGAGTCGGTATGTCAAGGGAATCGGGGTCTCCCTCAAGGGCTAGAAGCATGACACAGAGGTGGGGAGAAGCGGCTGCCAGGAACTCCAGCCCAAACTGCCTTTACTCTAGGACGTCACAGCCATGGCGGGTGGAGGCAAAGTCAGCGACAGCGGCAGTAAGAGCCGAGACAAACGACAGGGAGGCACGAGGGTCCGTAACAAGAGAGGTGAGAACACTGGAGGCAACCGGACGGTAAGTATGGCAGTAGTCAGAGATAGGGATAGAGGAGACTGGAATACTCAGGAGGAGACGGGAGAACAGACTAAGGAGGAGAACGATGATGACTAGTCTCGAAGAGAAAAGGCCCCGCCCTCGCTTGGGCGAAGTCGACCAGTCGGAACAGAACGGTGTTCGTTTCGTGGTCATCTGCGACTTCGAGGACTTTTATCTGTGTGCGAGGAGTCGTTTGTCGACGAGATTAATTGGTCGAGCTATTTGTGTTTCCTCTGCTCGATCAAAGTCCTCGTCTAGGAGGAGGTAGTCGACGGGAGTAAAACGACGTCGAAGACGAGCCTAACTGATAGACGGAATTGGCAGAATTGGTGTTTCGACGGATTGCTGGTCGACATGATTTAGTTCGACTAGTGTTTCGTCAAGCAGAGCGATTCTGGTCGACCAGAATTACTTGGCTCCAAAATTCGCAATGTGCGCGAATTTCGCCCAATCACAAAACAGCAAATTTCAACCAATCAGGTAATTTCGGAAATTGTACTACCCAGGAGAATTCGATTCAGTAAGGAAACTGAAACTGAAACACGTTTTTACTAACAGGAAAAACGTGCACAACTATGAACGTTGTAAACCTGAGCAACTACCAACTCAGGTGAAATATGCATGTGTTTGTCGTTTCACGTGCCGTTGCTGACTCGACAGATTCAAGTGCTTGTTGAGGAATGGTTCTACAGGGTTCATTCTCTTTGCTATTTGGTTCTCCTTGCTTGTACCATATGTCAGAATCGTGAAGGAAGGAATGATTGAACTAGCAAGCAGGTGGGTACAAGTGGGAAACCTAGAAGTGTTGTACCCTATATTGACTACCCCACTACAGCCTACACAGAATATGCCAGATATGTATGACACACCCCCATAGGCAAAGTGGGGGAGAACAAGAGGTCACAAGACCGGCCAAGAAAGACAAATCAAGCTCAGGGTGGATCACGACGTCACCACGCATTCTGAGCACAAGCAAATGGCCACAAGGCCAGTTCACATGCAGAGTTATATAAAGGAGAACAAGCAATACAATGATCACAACCTAATAAGTGTAAGCATGCAGGTATAAGTATATAGATCACAGTACAAGCAAAGTCAAGAAGTAAGCAAGTGAGGCACAGTAGGAACAAGGCCTAGAACAGTACAGAAACGCTAATGATCACAAGGCTGGAGCGCCTTGGTGAAGACATCAGCAGTGTTGGCCCGAGTGGCCACGTAAGCAAGACGAAGTTGACCACGATGTTGCAACTCTCGAGCAAGGAAGTAGCGTAGAGCGATGTGCTTCACACTGTGCTCCAGTCTGTGCTCCTGACACAAGGCAATCATGGCCTTAATGTCGACGTACAGCACTGGAGGAGAACGAGGTGGCTCTCCCAGGTCGGTCAGCAGGTAGGTGAGCCAGCGTAACTCCTGTGCAGCCATGGCCCCTGCGTAGATCTCAGCCTCACAGCTGGAGCTGAGAACTGAAGACGAGCGGGTAGACCGCCAAGAAACAGAGCCGGAGCCAAGGCTGAAGGTGTAACCCTGTGACGACCGCTGCGTAGCCAAGTCGTCAGCCCAGGAAGCGTCTGCGTGACCAGTGAGGACAACTCGAG